TATTCTTCGGCCGTTGTTGAAGATTTCCATCCGCCATGTCGTTTCAGAGCCATTAAATCATCACTGGCATCTACCAAAATAGTGGCAGAAGTTCGTCTTAAACAGTGATCTGTGTACATTTTGGGATCTGGTAACTTTAAATATTCGGATATTTGTTTAGGAACACCGCCTATTTTGTTTATCCTACCACCTGTTTCGAACATTTACCTCCTTGATAATTAGGAAAAAATTGATTTATTTGCGGATCGCTAATCTGTAGTCAAATTTCTATATATTGTTTGCAGATTTTGTAGAAATTTCCGAAAGTAACGAAAGATCTACATATTTTGGTTTTCGTATCAGGAATTTTAACCAATAACATGGTATTAATAACATGATACTTAAATTATCAATTTCACAAATTTTAAGATTTTTTAACTCTTGTTTCCTACAAGCTCCACATATTCAAATATTTGCAATAACGTTAAAATAAAAGTATTATAAGTAGGCACATTTATGTTATACTTTAAAATAACATACCTTTATTAACAAGTACTGTAATCAGAAGCTCCATTTAAAAAAGTTTTATTTCATCAGGATGTAAAATTTTAGATTTTTTGTTTTTAAAACTTTCTGACTGCCTTTTTAGATAAGCTCGCAATTTCTGCCAATTTTCAATATTAACATTATTTTTCAAAGTTATAACACTTCTTAGCATAAAATATATTGCCAATAATGAGGATGGTTTAAATTTCTTAGCGATTTATCCAAAATAAGCCAAGAGTACGTTTTGATAAAATGAATTTACAGTATTTGTTGTACGCCAGTACTTAAATTGCTGATATACCTTTTCATATATTCCTCTATATTTTTCTGAAATAGATTCTCGGTAGTGTTTGCAGCTAACTGCATAATATTGCGTGGTGTGCTACTAAATTCATCTTTAGTATTCGATGAACTCATTTTATTTATCTGTATTTAAATTACCAATATATTTACACTGACAGATTATTAATTTTTAATCTGTCAAAATAACGTCTGTTAATTCGTTTCCATGGTAACTCGACAAACTGACTTACAAGGCTTATGTGATATTACACATTTTTATAGAACTGAAGCGTAATTTTTTTTATTACGTGCTAGTCATTACTTGTCAGTTTTTTTTATGTATTTACTTAGCATCCAAATAGTAGGTAATACACAATTTACTAGTAAGAAAGTAGAAAAAGGTTCTTTTTAAAACCTTAGAAATAGGTTAAACCTTAAAAAACAATTTAATAGCATTTAATCCAAAATTATATACTCACAAAAAAGGAGTTGTCACAAAAAAATTGTGTAAAATGGGTATCAGCAAATGGGTATAAAATAACTTAATAAATTTGTTTCTAAACAGAAAAATTTATATGCCTGATACAAAATGTGCCCCACGGACCAAGAACAGTATAATATCAATATTGAGTTCACTTTTATTTAATGTATACACAGCAGAGCTGCATAGTTTGATGGATAGCATGGATAAATTATAGTTTATTCGTCTTCCGGGTTTGGACCGTGTCATTTGTGAGTGACCCAAAAGTGGGTTCATCTCGACGTTTCGCTACAATTGTATGTAGCTTCTTCAGGAGAACAAAGAAAAAGAAATCAAAAGACAGGAAGATGGGTAGTTATCATCGGTAACTCAGTTACTCAACGCAACCGGAGGCAAATACTAACTAACAAGATGGGCATTTGGTCACAGTAACTCAACTACTCAACGCAGCCAGAGGTGAAAATCAAATGCCAGGACAGGGATTCACGTCCAACAGCTCAGAACACTAACGCGTCGAGAGGCGAGGATTCACTCCCCATGTGTGATTGGTCACATACTATAATTTTTAGTTTATCACAGCAAAAGACAGCGGTTATGTGTCTTACTAGGCACAGACTTAAAACCCCTGATTTTTATACCATAGATGGTTTTACTATACTCATAATAAAGGAAATCTTGGCATTTATATTGATAATATACTCTTATCGACCAGCCACATTCACGTAAAGCAAAAATGTGAAAAAGGGCTCAACTTGCGTGTAGTTTCCAAATATAAATGGGGTGGAGATGTTAAAATATCTCTTACATTTTATAAGTCATACATATTATGCTCAATAATGAATTATGGATGTACTATTTATGCCTCAACTAGAAAATCAAACTTATTAATCTTAGACAGAATTCAATATAAAGCAATTAAAATAAGTCTAGGAACTATGATGTCGTCACCTAATTGTGTAGTTCTCGCCAAAGCACAAGAATCGTCTTTGTGTCTTCGAAGAGAGTATTTAACTAATAAACAGCTAATAAAGTACAGGACGTTTAGTACATTTATAGTCAAAAAAATATCAAATATAGTGGTTCATTTTTAGTTCCTAATATTAACCATATTGAGCAATATCAAGTCCCATATTATTTTGATGACAATATTTATCATCGTTGGGGTATTTATTGCCGGTTTTAACTCTTACCTTGTTGTTGTTGTAAAGGTTTTTTGCGGCTTCTATTAACCTCTGAGTTATTTGGATTTTATTCATCGTGTTCCATAGTTGTTTTCTGGGAACCGTGTCACATGTTTTTTTTAATCTATGAATGCCATGTGTACTGGTCTATTTTTTGCCATTTTTTTCAATTATTTGTTGAATCATCAATTAATCAATTGTATCATCAATTATAGCACGTTTAAAACTTAATCATGGTCGCTTTTATTAAGTTATAAACTAAAACATTTTATAAGTCTACCAAGTAACATCCCTACTTTATTAGCACCACAAGAGAAAGAAATATACATTTTAATCAAGTTGGTTTTAGAAGCAAACATCGATATTTAGCTTATAATATATGGTTAAATATATGTGTACTTACAAACATTATGTTATTAGAATCCAAACCTCTGTTTTACCCCATTTGTTAATACCTCCTGACCATGACCTGGTCTAGTTTGTCTTAATAAAAATGTCTTGATGGGTCCCTAGACAAGAAGCGAGTGGCCATGTTTTTATACTTATCCTATCTTTAATAATAAAAAAATACAAATATTTTGTGGCAAATAGACATGTTTTAATGCCATCCACTATCTAAACACACAACTAATAACTAACGACTAAAAAAGTCCTGCGTCTGGTTTCTGTTCAATATCGCAAGAAATAATATAAATAACAATATCTCTCATCGACTTGATATAAAATTTTCATCATTGTAAGTACAAATATAGACAGAAAATAGACAAAACTATAAAAAGTTGGTAGTCCTGTATTTTATTGGATTCTTTTTTACACAGCTTCGACAAGTCAGGAGTAACGTTCCTGTGAAAGGGATCTGTTCGTGTGTCAACACACGTCGTCGATATATTATTTGTGCATGTGTCTTTTATTTTCTGGCATAGGAATGAAGTGCTGGATATATATCAGGAGCGAGTTTTCCATTCACCGACATTTTTCATGACAAACCCTTTGAAAACTCATCAAAATATGCGATAGTAGATTTATCGTATTTTGTTATGCTTATAGAAGTTGGTATATTTTCGAAAGTGAAATTACATCGACAACTGAATTGTTAGGCAAGTGATTTATTTACAACTTTCGGAAAGGATTGCCAGCGTGTTGTATGATGAAACAAATTGATTTTTTAGTCCTTGAGAGTAACTTTAGTTTTTAACTTTGTTTAAAGTAATATATGAAAAATTATATGGAAGAGAAAAATATGGTGGTATTAACAACAGGTCACTAAACTTACACAGAATAATTTAACTGATATTTAACAGAAAAACGATCAAGTGTACTTTATAGTTAATTATGGTAAAAAGTATCAACAACAATTTGCAAAGTTTTGCCCTGAAAAAGCCACCAAAAGGCGGGTTTATTTTTATAAACTTTTGGCCGTAATTAACAGTTCATTTATAAACATTACCAATTTAATTATTGGTCAAGGCCTTATTATTTCCAAACATATATTTCTCGTATTAAAATCAACAATGGAACCTAATATTTAAAGTCTCTCAAAAAGTGTTTCTTAAAACATCAAGCGATTGTCTTCATTACTTTAGATTTTCTAAACGAAAATTAGCTTTTAATTCAACCCAAAAATATCATCTGGTCTACTTTGAATATCTAGCATCCAATCATCCATAGTATCCTAGTTGCTTTTAGTACCTTGGTTTGCTGAATCAGGAGAAAGAATAACAATATCCACTGGTTCTGCAGATGTTAAAGGTTCCACTTCGTCGAGTTCGAGTCTTCCAATTATCATAAATATGTGCTGTCTTATAAATGATCTAAGTCTATAAATATATATCTAAGTAGGTATTATACTTTCTTTTACTGCCGCCTACTTGCCATATTACTTGCATTTCATTAAAGGATGACATAAAATACTTCTTCAATAATTATCTATTTATTTTGTTAATAATAGCTTTCTGTGTTAGGTATAGTATGACGCCATCTATTAGGTGATTTGTGAAGTCGTTCTGAAGTGATGCCCGTACAAACACTTTGGCGATACATTATTATTAATATAGATATTGGTAATAAATAATACTATACAAAATATTTCAACCTTAGAGAAATATAAAATTTTTAACTTACGTTTGAACAAAAAGTAATTATTTAACCCTTTGTTTTCGCCCTTTATCAATCCCTTAACCATACTTATTGTATGCTGTATTACAAGGTATTTAGTCAATATCCGTCCACCGTTTATTTGAAATTGATTTAATAATTTAGCTTTAGTTAGTTAAGTCTATAAATACCATTTATTTTAAAATTAAATCCTGAAATATTTCTAAAATTTAGGGAAATATAGCCAGATCCATTTTCCGCAATTGCTCTGCCTGTTTCTTTAAATATTCAAATTGAAATATTTCATTCTGTGTATTAGTACGAAAATCGCGAAGGGCAGAACTGTTATTCATTGCCGTTTAATTACTCCCATGAGAAAATAAAAGATAGACCGAAAATTAAAACGGAATAACTGCCAACTCCTCTTTTTGTTTCAGTGTGTCCCAATTCCAGGATTAGGATTCCGGCGGGGAAGCTACAAGTGCGTGTGCAGACCTGGATTCTATTTTCCAGACATAAAGGCCGAAAGGCGGTATTACAACGGGACTGTCCTGGAGGAGGAGTACGAGAAGCGTATGCTGGTGAGTCCAAAATTATTAACAAGCTTAAAAGTGTGGGCAATAAGTTGAAAAAATGTGAAAAGTTTTTGACCCAATTTTAAAATATGGCCCATTAATATGAAATTAAGGTAGCATAAAAAAACTTTGCTGCTAAACCCTCATACACTTTCAGCTACGTTTTAATTTAACACCAATGTGGAGACTATAGTTATTATAGTGTAATACAATATCTATGAATGTGCTAATATTATATTTAATTAAAAAATATATAGGAAAGGGAGTAAATAAGGAAAATATTATTTTTACATGGGATTAAGCCATATTTGAGTGTAATCGTTATCAAAGAAAATATTACATTAAAAATTGTGCGAAAATGTATAACCAACAATTTGTTAATATGTTGTGTTCTTTAAAACTAATAGTTGACTTATCTAGCCTTTATGAAATAGCCGGCTTTTGGTTTGAAAATAACTTGAGGGTGGTGTTTTTCACCTCCAAATATCAAATTCTGACAGTTTGGTGTGGTTTTTTGTATTATTTGTTTGTGTAATGTGTCTTTATGTAGGTTATGTTTGTGAATATATGTGTTTTATACATATGTTTTAGAGATCATGTGTCTGCGACTTCCTTTAATATGCTATTTTTATATTCTTGTTGACTTTATCTTTAAGTAATGGCAGCCAAAGCATGCTAAATTTTCTGGTGGGTTTGCTGTAGATTTTCTTCATCAACCCATTTAGGTCCACTTGTAGAAAGCATAATAAAACCAATGTTTTTTATGAAATATATGTTTAGTTAAGTACAAATAAAGATAATTTCAAAGCTACATGAAGGAAACAAAATTTACACATCCATTTGTTAACGTTGCATTAACGTAACATTGGGACTATACGTATTGGGACTATACCTATAACAGAAACATATTGTAATGGTAATCTTTGAAATAATGTAAATGCAATGATATATTACAATTTTTACATATAAAAACACTTATTCTTTTACATGCCTACAATGCCTTCTCGAGTTTTCAATATTGTGTTCAATCGTGTGGCCCACATTATCCAAACGCGAGGTAGATGGTAAAGATGAACTAGAACCACGACCTCCTACACATTTTGTTATACTTTTGTTGACATTAACAAGGCTTTTCACAAATTCTGACCTAAAATCTAACTGCAAAATTGGATTTTCCTCATGTACAAATCTGTAGAGTTTTCAGGCATTAACGACAGCAGAGTCTAACATGTGAATAAATAACGGCACTATCACGTGTATGATATATATTCTATAATTAGCCACTACATTATCATGTTTACTCTCCCATGTATTAATTATATTTAGCTATGATGTTGAGTTGTGGGATAGACATCTATTTTTACCTTGCGATTGTATCGTTTTACAGGAAGAACAAACTCTAATAAATCACAATTAGATGTCACCGTCACCACAGAATTATCGATCGACCGTAAAATACTTATTTTATTAGTTCGATTCATAGTATTGCGATATTTTTCCCAATGGATTTTATCTTCACCAATTAATAATTTAGCAGCCTCTTTTTATGTATTGTTCCATGGAAATTATTTTTAACTTTGGGTGATATTTCGATGGGAAATTTAATTTTAAACAACTTCACCCAAATGAACCCTAGTGCATCGGGATATATTCACCCCTTTTTAAAAAACTCACTCCTTTAAATGGTAGCACTTCGAAGTTTTTTCATAATTAGGAAACCATTGACTATATGAAACAATCAAAACCCATTTAATATTGCAGTTCCTCTTAGATTTACTTTTTTTAAATAAATCAATATCCTATTATTGTCCCATGGTTGCGTTCACACAACTTTATATTGAAAGTCCTAAAAGGAAATTATTTTATAAAAATATAGATTTATGTTTAAAATATGATAACATTATGTCCTAACCTATAAAAATGTCTTGTAGATCATAAAACAATTATTCCCTAATATTTTAAAGCATTTTTTTAGAATGTAACTTTTTAATCGTTGAATCCCTTCTTGTTAGTCTTTCTGGATTGCTTGTGGTGTTTTGTTGTCTTCTTTAATCTTTGAAATTCTTTGAAACTTTGAAATATATGCTATTTTGCTTCTTAAATAAACAATTGTATCGAGAAATACAAAAGAAAAACTATACAGAGAAACAATAATACGCCCAATCCTAACATATGGTTCAGAGACCTGGACTCTAACAAAAAGTAATGAAAACATGTTATTATGTTTTGAAGAAAAAGTACAAGGCTACTATTAAACAGTGAATGACAATGGAGTGTGGAGAAGAAGATATAACTTTGAACTTACCAGAATATATACCAGAAGAATATACCAGAAACCAGATAAAAACATTTTAAGATAGGACGTTTCAGGTGGGTAGAGCATGTAATGCGGAAGGAACAAAATGACCCAACTTGATAACATCGACGATGATATGCCTTATGACCTCTTCCACTGCTTTGTTTCAATAATGCCTCGGTCTCTCTATTTTCCTTCAACGAGCTGGCTCCCACTTCTATATTTTCAAAGTTATTTATCTTCTGGCATTAACTTTAAATTTCGCTCTTATTAATTCATTAATGACTCTTTCCAACTAAGTTAATCAGCAACTTTAACGCCAAAAATCCATTTCAAATATTTGTTTTTTGTAATCTCCCACACTTCAGATCGGTATATCGCAATGCTTTCTTCAACACTCTTAAAAAGTCATCTTTTACTTTAAGTTTGGTGTTTCTATTCCAACTTGCTGGATGCAGTTATCTAATTGTAACTTTTTCTGGGACTATCCTATTTCTATTGTCTTCATCGCTGCCCCCTTTCCACAATGAATGATCCAAGGTATTAGTATTTATAGTTAGCTTTTACCAATGACCAGTTTCCATTATTCCCTATTTTTTCCTCCTTCTACTAAATACCTCGTTTTACCAAAATTTATTTCTAAGCTTCATTTGAGATATTGCTCATTAAGCTTTTTTACCATATAGTTTTCGTATTTTTATACATTTACTAGAATAACCTGATTATCGACAAAGCATAGGGAGAATAATATGTCGTTTTTTACTTAAGTACCCATTCTGTCACATTTGGTTTTTCCATTTTTTTAAAACCCATTTAGGTATATTTTAAATAGGATTGGGGCAATACAGCTTCCTTATTCCCAATTCTTTTGACATCTGAAATTCACGAGAGAGAGAGAGAGAGAGAGAGAGAGAGAGAGAGAGAGAGAGAGAGAGAGAGATAAAGAGATACAGAGAGACAAAGAGAGACAGAGAAAGACAAAGAGAGACAGAGATGTACCGATTTTAACACAGCTTGTAGTCTTACTGTACAAACCTCTTGCACATTTTATAGTGTGACTGATGTTTTGTCTTTTCATTGCAGACCAAAGCATAAAACACGGTACGCTGTAGTACGTCTTTATTTTAATTGACAAAATTTAAATTAGTTATTAGATTATACGCTAGAATTTGTAATTTGTCGAACAAAGAAGGTATTATCTTACCAGGATCGCCCTGCTCTAAAACCATTTTGGGTTTCAGTTTCTATAAACCGGCTTTTAAGATTTTTACATAATAGTGTCCTAATGCTGTTTTCTGTGTTAATGTTGTTATTTATCGTATCTTTATTTATCATTGTTAACTACAATAATAAAATTAACTGGACAAAACAGTTACCAATCATCAAAAGCTTTGTTTGCAATTTTAGCACTGCCTTTTATTAAAAGAAGCTTGGATAATAGTGTTGGGACCAAGATTTTTTTTAATTGTATACGTTTAGTTACTGCGTATTATTTTTTCCAATATGTTTACTTTAAACTTTTACTGAATCGTTTACGGGTAATAAAATTATCTACTTCCCTGATTATTCGCTGCCAAATGCATGTTTACTGGGTACGTTCTCCAACCGCAGTCCTTCGTCTGATTCGTCTGAAATCGCATCAAACAATTTTAGCAGTCATCCAGATCTGAGTTAGATTGTTTTTAAAAAAGATCATTCAATAAAATTTGCTCATCTTTTCACTGTAAGTATACTAAAGAATGTTTCTAATGCGATTAAAGCACTAAAACTAGATTATTTTAAGAATCCGATTGGAACTAAATTCTTATCAGTTTTTTAGGTACAACTGATTTCACTGGATTAATTTGATATACAGTGATAGCAGGTATACTTTTTTAGGATTAACAAAAGGCATGTTTTCAATATTTTTTGTACCACGTTCAGGGGATTTTCGTTTAGGTTATGACTTCTTTTTAAAATGGCTTTTGCGATCAAGGCTGTTCCATTGACAAAGAAAGCAACAACACCTAGGATATCCACCCTGCAAGCCAAATAGTATATCAATTACTTTAATGTATTTACATAAGTTCCATCTGTATCTATCCCATTGGATATATCTAAAGCCAACTTTATAAATATGCCCATTTGTGTCTTTTATTATTGCAGAATGGGCCAAAGGAACTGAAGCAAATTAGTTACCCTTATACAATAGAATAGCCTTAAAGCTAACTTTGGATGGGTCTATTAATAAACGTCACTCTTCAAGTGTATGTTCATGACCTAAAGTGTAAATTACTGCTGAAATATTATTACAATACACGAACTCTCCTTCTTGGATTAAAAAAAACTACTCAAAATCCTCTTGCTTGTTTATAAAGTAACATACTTTAGTACCTACTTTTACCAATCAAGTTTCAACCTTAAGGGGCTACTCCAACAGTTCCGCTTGTTTTCTAGATACATTTAAATCACAAACCCGATCATTAAGGTTACCTTAAGTTTATAAATAAGACTCAATTGCTACCTCAAAACTAGGATCTGGTATATTAAAATTATGGTCTTAATTTGGTTGAGGAATTATACTGTCACTAGTTCATATGGATGTTGGATGAGGCGGTATTGGTAGCTCTTGACTATGTGTGACAGGTGAGATCGCCGAAGGCAAGTTGGGATATTCAATTCAAGAATATGTTTTGACTTGATATATCTGTTGTATTTATAAAACAAAAGT